ATATATATATGTATATATATATAATTATATATAAATATATGTGTGTGTGTGTGCGTGTGTGTGTTTGTATATTTTAAGCCTATGCCTTGCGAAATACTATAATGATAATAATATATTAATAATAGATAAATCATAACATTGCTCAGATAGGAACATAAGATTTTATAATCGTATCAAATAGACCAAATTTTGTATGGAGGGTCATCTAAAACTTTGACGGTGTGAAGGGGAAGAGCCGGTTTAACGCAGCTTTGGTATTGTAGGACGTTACAGGGGTTCCGATAGAGTATTAATTAAAATGTAAATATTTAATATCCGCTTTTAAGCTTTATATTCAGTGCATTTTTTACTATGGACCTTTTTCGATTTTGGAAAGGGTGGGGGTGGTGTAGAGCGTAGCACCTAAATCTGGGGAGGAGGCAGGGGGTGCAACGGTGCGTTCACACACCCCTAAATTGTATTAAGAAAATGTTTTCTATTGTATTGTTGATATGAACAATATGATTGTTATAGGTATGAGAGTGCAATTTCCGGGCACCTAAAGGTCCATATTCTCAAACTTTTCGCACCTCAGCCCCAACCATGGTGGGACTGACCTATACCGCAAATCCTGCTTAGACAGATACAGACAGAACAGCAAACAAATGTGAAATTGTGTAGTATTTCATTGTTTCATACTTTATTTATATGATAGGCCTAGTAACTAAGTGAACTATTATAAACAGCATTGGCATACAAAATAATAGTGATGTCATATTTCAGAGGACAAGGAAGTCTGCGCGCGCGCAGATAACTCTATTTGACAAAATGGACCCTTACAGAGTGCCGATCAGCGTAAATTAACACTATAAAACTAACTTACAATATTGTTTAAACAAGCTACTTAAACTAAATTATACGCATCCTGCTAAACATGTCTTTGCCAATCACACCAATGACATGATATTCAATGTTGTTAGCACAGTGTGCGCCTCGTGCTGTCAAAAACCTAACATCAATTTTTTAAGTAAAATGATTCTGTGTATAACACATACACACTTTCGTCTTAAACTAAACTTAGTTTCAATATCAATCAGTTAAGTATAACAGATTACATCATGCAATCATAGGTTAAAATTATTTCTAGGTCGCCGTATTTGTTAATACCGCAGTTAGGACTGCGCATGCTAGTATAAGGGTCAATCGACATAAACACCATACACACAACATAGGTTTATGTCGATTATTCCTGGACGAGCATGCGCACATCTAACTACTAATTGGCTTATTGTTTCATAAAATGGATGATCGAATATGATCGCCTATTATCAATGATTGACCTCCTAAAAAATTACATAGAACTAGCTATTTTGTATTACTTAGGCCTACTATTAAAAATATCTAAGGAGCATAGTAATAACCGTAAGTCAACAAACTTGAGGCATAGTCCTAGTTTGATCAATTCACCAACTACTAGCCCTTACGCAAGTTCGACAGTTTCAGTTTTTTTCATCTCATCATCTTTGTTGCATTCGTCTATTAAATCAACGGAACGCTTTTTTCCTTTCCAAAAATATACGAAAGCTAGTACCACAAAAAGAGCCAAGGCAAAAATTGCCAGGAATATTGATAGAAAAGTTACAACGACAACGTTTAATGACGACGTGACGCCCGGCTGTTTTTGTGTCTTCATGACCACAGTTTCAGGTACTTCTGTGAGTAAGAAAATAATAAAGTACGGTATTAATATACGTACATATATAAATGTATATGATGTGACTTACATGCATACTCACACACAT